TTCATCAGATGAAGGTCTCCCGGTGCAGAGGAGACATTTGCTCTCATTAAACACCTTCACCAAAGAACTTCTGCTCTGTTCCGCTCCTCCCCATCGGATCAAGAACATCCGATGCAGAGGAGCATGTTCCAGGCGGTGTTTACTGTGGGGCTCGGTCTACTGCCCCCTACAGGACCTGTGTGGAGCTAGCGCCCCCTACAGGACCTGTGTGGAGCTAGCGCCCCCTACAGGACCTGTGTGGAGCTAGCGCCCCCTACAGGACCTGTGTGGAGCTAGCGCCCCCTACAGGACCTGCAGAAAATGCGGCGCAGTGTTCGGCAGAAGGAGCTGAGTCTGCTCCTCTGTGGCATCACCACGTGTCTCAGGATGGTGTCCATCGTGGTCTGTAAAAACTCATCCTCGTTGATGATGGCAGAGAATTGAACTAATTTCTTTGAGGAGCCTGTGCACAGGTCTTTGTACACGGCCTCCGCCACTTCCACGATGTTCTCTCTGTCAGGTCTCACCCTCACGTTCCATTCACACATGTTTAACTGCAGCAGCTCAACCAGTGTGATGAACATGGAGCGCATTTCAAACATGTTTTTGGTCTGAAGGACGCGCTTGCTCACCTCATAAGCCAAGCTCCAGATATGTTCTGCCTCCCACTCATATTGAGAATGTCTATAGGGGGGCGAGGTCTGTCCTGGGTCCTGACCTGGAACAGGTGAGGCCTCCCCCTGATTCTCCTCTGGTTCCACAGCATGTCGTGGGTAACAGCAGAGGAGCCTGTTCAGAGAGCTCTTTGAAGTGCTCCACACAGTGTCAAGAGTCTCAGTCTCAGACGTAGGCTGACTCTGGTCACAGGGAGCACAGCTCTGAACCAGGTCCTGATGTACCGTCTGAAGCTTGGTCCTTTGGGCACTCACCTGTTCCTGTGCAGCTGCCTTAAACACTTCTTCCTGATTACCTGCAGACAGGTTCTCAGTGGAGAGTGGCTTTGTTTGAAGCTCACTCTGCTGTTCCTGCAGAGATGTAGCAGAGACTTGAGCTCTGGAGTCCAAAATCAAGAAATCCTCCTCCTGTTCATCCTCTAGGGGAACACTGCACGGGTGACAGAACAGATTCGGCTCTGAAACTTTCTGCTTCCTCCTCCTTTTGCGCCGGACACAAGGTGCACAGCTCTGAGCCAGTTTCTCTAGAAGCCCACTCCGCTGGACCCTCTCCTGCTCCTCCTGATCCACAGAGGCTGAAGAGGCAGATGTGGGCTCCGGCAAAGATGTAGCACCACAGATCTGAGTCTGTTTGGCTGGTGCTGAGTCTTCATCCTGTTTATCTACGGATGTGTGGGTTTCACGTGGGAGTAGGGGGTCGAGTGTTCTCCCACTGGGTGCAGTGCCGGGTCTCACGTTAAGCTGCAGGGGAGACTGAGTAGAATCCGGGGCCCATGATGCACAGTGCTGCTGGTTTTCAGAGGTTGGTGTCACTCCCAACCCATTCTGTCTCAGTTCTCTCGCAACCCTGAAACGCTTGATTCTCTCCTCCATGTCCGTGTCCACAGGCTTTGGTGAGGCCTTCATCTCCTTCAGAGATGTAGAGCGAACACGTGAGGATAGTGTGTCCTGAGAAGTTGAGAGAACATTAGACGTTTCCTCTTCAGGGGAGAGTGTCTGATCACGCGGCTTACGGCAGCAGTTAAATAATTTTCTGGCCGTGCTGGCGATCTTGTTGAGCCTGTGATTCGGCGTGGTGTAAAGTGGTACACTCTCGTTTACCACTGGTTTGTCCCCCTCAAAACTGGTGCGGGACATGGCCGAGTTGACTCTGGAGGTCACCTCACTGCTCACCATCTCCACGACCTCGTCCATGGACTGAGTCTCTCCTGAGGTCCTGAAGAAGCGCTTGAAAATGGGGGCCAGTGAAGCCTTCACTGCCTCCTGTGACACCTGGAGATCACTGGAAAGGCGACCTTGGGCAACGTGATCCACTAAAACCCTGAGTATCACCCTGGAGCTAACCAAGATGAGTTCCATGAATGTGTCCTTCATCTGGTGTCTGGGCTCCAGCATCGACAAGTCCACACTGCTGTAATCGAGCCCCAAGAGGGAGTCAAGCAGAGGTCCAATTTTCTGTGATAATCTCTTCACTAGAGCTTCATCCAGGGGGAAACTGCCACTGCCTTGGACGTCTGTGGACTGGGACAATGAAGGTCGAGAGCGACGGGTGTATCTCCTCAGCTCGTTCAGGCTTTCAGTGTCCGACAGCCCACGTCTGCGTCCCGTCCTGCTCCTCGGCAACTCGTCAGGCTGTGGTTTGACTGAAGGAGTCCGGCTTCGTCGGATCTCCTCAAACATGCGCCTCATCTCCTCCGGGGTAAATCCTTCAGTGTCTTTGTCTGCCATTACAACGAAAAAACTCTGAAGGTTGGTGAAAAAAAATGTAAATCAGTAACTTCTGTGGAGTAAAGTTTGCACACTGCTTTTGTCGAGCTCAGCTAAACGTGCCTTTTCCGGTAAACGATTTGTGATTTGCGATTTACCTATTCTTATAATCTCCCCGAGGCCAAACAAAGCTTTGAGTTAAAGACCACGAAGCTTTGAAGTTCAGCTTTGAGTTCCGGCGTCGCCACGGTAACAAGACTGTATGGATCTCAAAGTTTTGAAGTTCAGCTTTGAGTTCCGGCGTTGCCACGGTAACAAGACTGTATGGAACGTTACATGTATGACGTCATCGGCGCCGTGAACCTGATGGAACTGGGAGGTTTTCAGGTTCTAGAATGTGATGACGTCATACTCCCAGACGGGGGCAAGAGCCACGTTTCCCTGTTGACTGAGGCCGAGTGTTGTTAAGAAGTCGCTGATACGAGACAAACCTCGATACAGTGCGATTTTCATTCGATACGGTTCAGTCAAAAATAAAGGCTAAATCATGGAAAGTCTTTGTTAAACCACTTCTTGTGCAAAGTTCATCTGAAACACAAACATTTTAATCCTCAAAACTCATAAACGAGTTTCCTTCCACTAAACAAACAACAAAACTGTAGCTGTAACAAAATCATTGAGTAAAAAATACCAAAAATCCTCTTGGTGATAATTGGATTACAGTTACTTTGTTGAAATAAATGGATTACACAGCGGGATTTTCCCGATTTCATATTTTGGACTAAACCAGGACTAAACCAGAACTAACCCAGAACTAAACCAAAACTAAACCAGGACTAAACCAGAACTAAACCAGGACTAAACCAGGACTAAACCAGAACTAAACCAGAACTAAACCAGGACTAAACCAGGACTAAACCAAGTCTAAAACCAGGACTAAACCAGGTTAAACAGGACTAAAACCGGGACTAAACAGACTAAACCAGAACTAAACCAGAACTAAACCAGGACTAAACCAGGACTAAACCAAGTCTAAAACCAGGACTAAACCAGGTTTAAACCAGGACTAAAACCGGGACTAAAACAGAACTAAACCAGGACTAAAACAGGACAAAACCAGGACTAAAACAGGACTAAACCAGGACTAAACAATATGACACTAACAGTTGGATGGACGTAACTGAAGGCAGCAGTGATCTCATTAGTAATCAGTAATTTCTCTAAAAAATAATATTTTTAATCTGGTTAAGGAGATTCTGGTCTTTTTTGTGTCTTTTAGCAGATGAAACATCTTCATCTTTGTTTCTCTACAGTAAAACAAAAGTCTGTTCATGGAGATTTGGGCTCAACAGACAATTTGAAGAAAACAAACATGAATTTTCAGGATGTGGTTGGTACATTCCTGTCGTTTTAAAAAGCACGACAATATCAAGTAATCCAAAGTATTCAGATTACATTACTCACTTTAAGTAATTTAATGGATTATGTTACAAACTACATTTTGGTGTATGTAATCTGTAATCTGTAGGGGATTACATTTTAAAAGTCACCTTCCCGACATTGATTATATCCTGCTCCACAAAGTAAGATGAACAGATGTGGAGCAGCTCCTGGAGACCAGCGGCGCTCGGACTGAAAACAGCCAAGTTGAATTAACTTCAACCAAATCAACTGAAATGACCCCGACTCTAACACACATTTAACTTTCAAAGAGTTCAAAAAAAAAAAACACTTTTTGTGTCCAAAACAACTACACTGAAATATTTTACTCTGAAATTTTAACCCTCCAGTTTTTGCAAGTTTGTTCTAGGGGGGGGGGCAGGACACGAGATTTGGATCCATGAGATCGAGACGAGATTTGGACATAATTCATCATAAATAAATAAAAGTGTGTAACTGTGTGTTTCAGTTGGAAATTTTGGCCTCAGACTCAAAATCACAGTTTTATTTGTTTTTTTTTTTTGCTTGAGTATTTTTAGCTAGAGTCACTTTGCATTTTATTTACGTATTTATTTTATTAATCATCTGTCATAACAGGTTTCCAGTTGTTAAATAAGTCTGAAGAAAGTTAATTTGTTGTTTTTGATGAACATGTAATACTGAGAGTGACCAGAGGAGGGCAGTGTGAGTCTGTGTAACATCCTACAGGAGCCCAGGTGAGAGAGAGAGAGAGAGAGAGAGAGAGAGAGAGAGAGAGCAGCTCCGGCACGAGCTCTAAACATGACGCTGCGTTACGTTCCGTTCCGTTCCGCTCCATGACCCCAGAGCAGCTGCAGCAGTGATGAGGACACAGACACACACTGTTCTGTCTTTAACACACAGAACTGTAACTAAATGTATGATCCATTTTTACAGATCGACGCTTTTACACAGAGACCGAATCAGCGCGTGCGTCTGTGTCACGTGATCACACAGACTCTAGAATAACACAGTAATATAAAAATAATACAAATAAAAGAGGCTGCGGTCTGTGGGTTTTAATGTGGAGCCTCTGATTGTTTGGATCAAGACTAAATGTGTTTGGTGCCAAAATCTTTGACTTTTATTGAGGTCACGTGTCTGTTGGTCCTGAACCTGCAGAAACAAAACCAGAACCTGAATGTTTAAACATTTACAATATTCAGACTCAAAGACACAGAGTTGAAGAAGAGCAGCGTTTATTGAGACAGAGCAGCGGAACCACGGACCGAACCACGGACCGAACCACGGACCAGAGTCTCTACACACAGTGAGACACTCGGCCTGTCTTGGCAGAACAGCGCCACCTTCAGTGTGTCTTGATCATGCAGCGTCACAGTCCACGACACGGTTCAGAACAGGTGTAAGAGCACGAGGCCGCACGGGCCGTTTACGCACGAGGCGATGGCGCGAGACTCATCAGCGTCTGTAAACGTCACCCACAAATAAACAAACAAATAAACAAGTAAACAGATGAGCGGGAGGAACACGGGGACGGTTTGTCTTAAACCCGCGGCCGCGCGCGGACCGGACCCGGTCCCGGTCCTCCCGGGGCCTGAGCGCGTCCCTCTGCCGGAGCACAGGCGCTCTGCCCCGGGCACAGCTCCGTCAAACTCCCGGGGTCACCCAAGGGTCTATAATGACACCCCCGGGGTCAGAGGTCAGAGGTGAATACAGTGACGTCATGCGTAACGCTGGATTCTGAAATGTCCCAAAGCAGAAAAGTACAAAGTCCAAGATCCTGCGCCGGCCCCGGGCCACATGCAGCGGCCGCACAGTCCACCGGGTCAGACCTGCTTCAGACCCGGTCCGGACCGAGTCCAGACCTGGTCCCGGTTCGGTCCGGCCTCAGTGCACCTGCACCTCGTGCGGCAGCAGCTCACAGCCGCTGTTGACGTGCGTGAGCACCTTCTGTTTGAGCTGCTCCACCTGGTCCCGCAGGACGGACGCGGTGGACGCCAGGTCCGTGTTCTGACTCTTCAGACTCTTCACTTTGTCCTCGAGCCGCGAGATTCGCTCCAGTTTGCGGCGGCGGCACTTGGACGCGGCGATGCGGTTGCGCAGGCGCTTCCGCTCGGCCTTGATGCGCTCCTGAGAGTCCATGTCGATGGGGGACAGCGGGGGACTGTCCCCGAAGCTCTGCACGTCCGGAACCGTCTGCGGCTCCTCCTTCATCGGCGCCGGGCCCAGGTGATGCTGCGGCGGGGGCGGGAAGGGCACGGTGTCGGTGCTGTAGTTGACGGAGGTGCCGAGCGGCCCCGCGCCGCCTCCGTACGTGTTCAGGTTCGTGTAGACGGGGAGCTCCGGCTGCACCGTCACCGGGGCGAGGTTCACCCCCAGCTCCAGAGTCCCGGTGCTCTGGGCCGGTCCGCTCAGCTGGTTCTGTTTGTGCAGATCCTCCAGCGCCTTCACGAAGCCCTCCGCGAACTCCTGCTCGTCCGTGACCGTCTTGGGGTAGACGAACTGCGGCGCGGTGGGGGTGGTGGTCACCATCCCGTTGGACTGGATGATGAGGCGCTCCAGCTCCGGAGAGGCCAGTTTGAGGAGCCCCAGGTCCGGGGAGCTGAGCAGACTCTCGGCCTCGCGCAGAGGCTTCAGCTCCTCGTCCTCCGTCAGGCTCAGGGTGATGTCCTTCTTCATCATGATTCTGCTGCTTCAGAGGAGCGCGAGGACCATTCCCGTCAGGTCCGAAACGTCTGATCCTCTGCTCCTGTGCCTATCTCCTCTGTGACGTGTTCTCCTCTGTTCTCCTCTGTTCTCCTCTGTTCTCCTCTGTTCTCCTGTGTGTCAGTGTGAGGCAGGACGCTCTTGAGCTCCTCTCGTGCGGGTTCTACGTGTTCCTCCCCGTATCTTCTCCTCTACCTTCTCTCCTTTCTCTCTTTTCTCTGTTCTGTTCTGTTCTGTTCTGCTCGTCTCTCTCCGCTCCGTCGGGGAGAATGCGCCCGCGCGTCCGCCTCCAGCTTTTCTATCCGCGCACGTTCCATTATGTCACAGGCGAGTGCGCGCATTGGACAGACGTGACGTGCACCAGACGCTCGTTTCAATACAGCAAAAAAAAGAAAAAGAAAAAAAAAGAGAAGTGATCAGAGAGAGGGGGGGGGAGGGAGAGGAAGACAAACAGCTCGTGTTTGGTGTCGGATCGTATTTGGCTGTTACGCAGTGCGCGCCGTTTGGTCACGTTTTGGTGCCTGCGCCTTTACCTGACGAACCCACGGAGTCTGCGCGCGCGTGGGTTCATTTTGTGTCAACTTTTCGTTTATTTTCGAGCACATTTTCTAAACTTAAACAGTTCTAATCGGAGCGCGTCACGCGGCACGTCACAGATTCTCTTTTCCTCGCTCCACGGACTCAAACGTCGTCGCCGAAAAAACAAAACAAAAAAAAGCCTAAACTCGGCCCTCGCGCTCCTCCTCCTTTTTCCTCCTCTTCCTCCTCCCTTCCTCGCGCGCACATAGACGATCCTCCAGTTGCCATGGCGACGCGGGGAAAACTCCAAACATGGGTGGGATCGTGACGTCGCGCCGCGCCGTGGTGCTGCTGCTGGACGCTGCTGCTGCTGTGGCTCTTTTCTCCCCGTCGATGTTTTGGGCCAGAATTACGCAACAGAGATTTAAAAAAAATAAAATAAAAAATCCTGTTCTCGAAGATCCGAGGAGGAGAAACCGCCACGAAACTCCCCGAATAATGACGAAGGTTTTGGGTCAGAACACAGAGAAACCAAACAAACACAACAGACAGTTTATACTCAGGCGCAGCGATCACGTACGTTCACGCACGGACACTTTTTACAGACATAGAGAAACCAGACGTGTGTCCTTCCTCTAAATTTATCCAGAACCACTGATTTGTCCCAGTTTCATAAAAGAAATGTCCCAGGTGTGTCTACTGAAACAGTAAATAGAGGTAGAGTGTCATTTTTTTAGGTAAAATACAGAAAATCTGCTTAAAAATGATCAAACTATAGAAAATGTGACTAAACTGACTCATGTTCGTCATGAATGGACCGAGTGCAGAACAGTTCTCCTTAATTACACACTCGATTCACAATTTTATCATCACAAACTCCCTACGGTGACCAGACGTCCCTAATTTGTCCCAGTTTTATACAAGAAATGTCCCAGGTGTCTCTATTTTTGATCAATTCAATCCTAAACAACAGTAAAAAGAAACATAAACTGTCATTTGTTGAAGTAAAATACAGAAAATCAGCTTAAAAACGACCAAAACACAAAGACAATGTGGCTATACTGACTCATGTTAGTCATAAATGCAGAACAATTTTCCTTAATTATGCACTAATTTCACAATTTTATTATCACAAACTCCCTATGGTGACCAAACGTCACTGATTTGTTCCAGTTTTATACAAGAAATGTCCCACATGTCTCTATTTTTGACCAATTTGAAACAGTAAATAGAGGCAGAGTGTCATTTGTTTCAGTAAAATAGAGAAAAGCTGCTTAAAAATGATCAAAACACAAAGAAACTGTGACTGTACTGACTCATGTTCATCATGAATGGACCGAGTGCAGAACAATTCTCCTTAATTATGGACTCATTCACAATTTAATAAATACCAACCGCCACAAACCGAGAGTGTCCCAGTTTTTGATTTTGGGTCATGAGCTCTGAGTAACGACGGAAAAGACCAGATCCACAATACAAGCGTCACAAATGAGTTTCCTCTGCAGGGTGTCTGGGTGCTCCTTTAGAGACAGAGTGAGGAGCTCGGAGTAGAGCCGCTGCTCCTCCACGTGGAGAGGAGCGTCTGAGGGGAGGACGTCTGTTCTGATGTCTCCTGGACGTGTCCCTCAGGAGGTGTTCATGTCCCACCAGGAGGAGGCCCCAGGGAAGACCCAGGACACACTGGAGGGACGATGTCTCTGGACTGGACTGGGAACACCTCAGGGTCTCTCTGGAGGAGCTGGAGGAAGCTTCATCCTGAGTCTGGACTTTGGAACAACCACAGGGACCTGAGGATCTAAGACTGAAGAAGAACAACCACAGGGACCTGAGGATCTAAGACTGAAGAGGAACAACCACAGGGACCTGAGGATTTAAGGTTGAAGAAGAACAACCACAGGGACCTGAGGATCTAAGACTGAAGAAGAACAACCACAGGGACCTGAGGATCTAAGACTGAAGAAGAACAACCACATTGACCTGAGGATTTAAGGTTGAAGAAGAACAACCACAGGGACCTGAGGATCTAAGACTGAAGAGGAACAACCACAGGGACCTGAAGATCTAAAACTGAAGAGGAACAACCACAGGGACCTGAGGATCTAAGACTGAAGAGGAACAACCACAGGGACCTGAGGATTTAAGGTTGAAGAAGAACAACCACAGGGACCTGACTGAGGACTGAGGATGAAGAGAAGAACAACCACAGGGACCTGAGGATCTAAGACTGAAGAGGAACAACCACAGGGACCTGAGGATCTAAGACTGAAGAGGAACAACCACAGGGACCTGAGGATTTAAGGTTGAAGAAGAACAACCACAGGGACCTGAGGATCTAAGACTGAAGAGGAACAACCACAGGGACCTGAGGATCTAAGACTGAAGAGGAACAACCACAGGGACCTGAGGATCTAAGACTGAAGAGGAACAACCACAGGGACCTGAGGATCTAAGACTGAAGAGGAACAACCACAGGGACCTGAGGATCTGAAGAGGAACAAACCACAGGGACCTGAGGATCTTAAGACTGAAGAAGAACAACCACAGGGACCTGAGGATCTAAGACTGAAGAGGAACAACCACAGGGACCTGAGGATCTAAGACTGAAGAAGAACAACCACAAGACCTGAGGATCTAAGACTGAAGAGAACAACCACAGGGACCTGAGGATCTAAGACTGAAGAAGAACAACCACAGGACCTGAGGATCTAAGACTGAAGAGGAACAAACCACAGGGACCTGAGGATCTAAGACTGAAGAGGAACAACCACAGGGACCTGAGGATCTAAGACTGAAGAGAACAACCACAGGGACCTGAGGATCTAAGACTGAAGAAGAACAACCACAGGGACCTGAGGATCTAAGACTGAAGAGGAACAACCACAGGGACCTGAGGATCTAAGACCGAAGAGGAACAACCACAGGGACCTGAGGATCTAAGACTGAAGAAGAACAACCACAGGGACCTGAGGATCTAAGACTGAAGAGGAACAACCACAGGGACCTGAGGATCTAAGATTGAAGAGGCAATTTTTTGTCCGACGAGAAGAACGTTTGTGAACATTTGTGACGTGTAGGTGGGATGAATGTGACCTGACCGTTCAAACTGAAGTCGGAAAGTCGAAAAGATCGGACATGTATCGTTTTTAGGAGCACATATCCAAGTGTCCTGGTCTAATTCATGAGCCGGTTTCACTTCGTAGAAACCGTGTGACCTCGCAGCATTAGGATTCGTTCGCTTGACGGGAGGCGGGGACTTTTTTTATTTAACCAATCGCTGCTGTTTGGACGTGACGTTTGCAATTCTCCAAATTCCGAAGGAAGAAGGAAATAACGTCATTTCTTCCCCTTGATAAAATTCACCAAACATTTTCTTTCGTTCCGGCTTTAAATCCTCGGGGATCTCGGGAATCGTTGACAACACGGAATGTCTGACTCTTCTCTGATTGGCTGGTGCCCGAACTCGCACTTCCGAGATTTTTGTAAACCGTTTCGTGTGTTCTGATTCCTGACCGAGTCGCTGGAGAGAAATGAAATTGAGCGGAGGCACTAGGTCACATTTGGAAAAAAAATCGGATCTGTGTCTGCGGAAAAATCGGATTTGGGTCACTTCAGTCTGAACGTTCCTCTCCGTGGTTTTTATATTTAAAGAGTTTCTTGTGAGGGTGAAAACGAGCAGCTCTGTGGTGTTTTCGTTTTTGTAAAGTTTCTCACCGGAGACGAAGAAGAAGAAGAAGAAGAAGAAGAAGAGAGGAGGGAGGTGCAGGCGTCTGAACGGGAAAAAACTAGCGGGTGGATGAGTTTTTCCGGATCCGGGCGGGAGAGGATCTGTTTGATTTGGGTTTAATGGTGCGGAGGAGGAAACAGGAGGAAACAGGAGGAAACAGGACTGAGACTGAGACGGATTTTTTTCGATACCGGAGCAAAGTTTTATCCTGCGTGAGTCATAACCTGCGCTCTGAGAATCGCCACGGCAACACGGAAAACGTAAATAAGAATCTGTTCTGCATTGCGTAACTTTTCGGTTTGGGGTTTTGTCGCCGCGGAGACGCTTCTGCTTTGCCTGAAATGTTCCACAGTGTGACATTAAACTTGTATAAGACGCATTTGTTCAATCATGAGTCAAAAATACAACAGAAACAGAGGTATAATACTCCCTACAACAGAAGTATAATACTCCCTACAACAGAAGTATAATACTCCCTACAACAGAAGTATAATACTCCCTACAACAGAAGTATAATACTCCCTACAACAGAAGTATAATACTCCCTACAACAGAAGTATAATACTCCCTACAACAGAAGTATAATACTCCCTACAACAGAAGTATAATACTCCCTACAACAGAAGTATAATACTCCCTACAACAGAGGTATAATACTCCCTACAACAGAAGTATAATACTCCCTACAACAGAAGTATAATACTCCCTACAACAGAGGTATAATACTCCCTACAACAGAAGTATAATACTCCCTACAACAGAGGTATAATACTCCCTACAACAGAGTATAATACTCCCTACAACAGAAGTATAATACTCCCTACAACAGAGGTATAATACTCCCTACAACAGAAGTATAATACTCCCTACAACAGAAGTATAATACTCCCTACAACAGAAGTATAATACTCCCTACAACAGAAGTATAATACTCCCTACAACAGTATAATACTCCCTACAACAGAAGTATATAATACTCCCCTACAACAGAGGTATAATACTCCCTACAACAGAAGTATAATACTCCCTACAACAGAGGTATAATACTCCCTACAACAGAAGTATAATACTCCCTACAACAGAGGTATAATACTCCCTACAACAGAA